TCCCTGCCCCTTGGGCTCTGATCTGCCACGCTCCTCGGGGGTGTAAGTACCACAAGTAGTGTAAAGTCCTATCTGTGCCTTCTCGGCTGGGTGGGCTAGGAATCGAACTGGAAGTAGAGGGAGGGCAGGCTCAGAACCAAAGCGGCTACATGCTGAGACACTACCCACAAATCCCTCTCCTGGAATAGCACCAATACCTGCCCCCATTCTCGCCTGTCTCCTAGTGCTCCAAAGTGGAGATGGTAAGTCACTCCTGCCCTCCCCAGGCCTACCTCTGGGTGGAACTGCTGCTCTGTACGGGTGTGGCAATACTGGCAGGCGTCTCCATTCTCACACTTGCCGGGGTCTCCCCACTCGTCCCCGTGTTTGACGTTTGGACATGGAGATGACCTGGTCCAACGAGAAGGGATCAGACAGGGGCAAGAGAGGACGAGACTGGGACCTGCACAATACCACCTGAGTCCCTGTGCAGAGGCCCTCTCTGGTCTCCCTGTTTCACAAGGTCAGGTACAGAAATGGGGAAGCTCAGCTATAGCGGAAGGGTCTCACTAGGCTCAGGCTGTTCCTCTGGCCCAGCTGGCCACATCACCAAGGAAGATACAATTTTGCACCCTCCAGCCAGGCACTGAACCTGACAGCCGGAAGTCAGGCCACAGCCACACGCATGTCCCACACGGGCACACACCCTAAAGACTCAGAAATGGATGGGTCTCATGCAAGAACTGAACAGGGCTCTCACCACTCTGTCTCCTCCACAGTCCCCCCTTTTCTAACTGAGCCCTGTAGCCCCCGGGGCTTGCCCTCCCATCGCCTGAGAACCATGGGGGCAGCGGTCTCGGTCACAAACCCTTCCTCGCCTCTCCCCCTCCCATGGCAGACTCTTGGGGCCAAAGGACCTGTACTTGTGTTTCCGGGGACTCCGCCGCCGGTCCTTGCTGTTGTGGTAGTAGGGACAGGCATAGCCCTGGCGACACAGTCGTGGAGGCTTCTTGCACGGCTCTGTCTTATAGTTGCCCAGGACGTAAGCAGTCTCTGCAGAGAAGGCCAGAGGGCAGAGGGCAGGGGTCAGAGCTCCCCAACAACAGCAGAGTAGAGTGCAGGGAACAGCTACTGGGAAGATGGGTCCCTGAGCCAGGGCTCTCATGCAAGACATGAACGGGGCCACATCTTTATAGGCCAGATATGCAACAGGAGGGAAAAAGCATGGATGAGGATGTATATGTGAAAGCCCAAGGGAATCTTGGGAATTCTGTCTGCCTGGAAACTATCTTATAAGTGCCTTTTGAAGATAAGTTTAACATGGGATTAAGGGGTGAGGTGAGCTAAAGAAATGGCTCAGTGGTTAAGAGCACTTGTTCTTGTAGGACTGGGTTCCATTCACAGTCACAACCATCCATAAAGCATGCACACAGTGCACAGAAATACAGTCAGACAAACACTTATACACATAAGTACTTAAAGTTTCCAGATGGGATGAAAGGGCTAGATTTCTCCTAACAGAAGTGGTGGTTTCAAGCCAAGTCATTGGGTAGCTATGGAGAGGGGAGTGTAATCGCCACCTGAGGCTGCCTATACCTTGCCACCGAGGTTCCTCACTGAGGATTTTTTCTATCATGGCATGACTTGCAGCCCCAGCTGACTGGCCTTCTAAGCTGCCCTCTACTGTAGTCTGGCCATTCTGTAAGGCCTCCATGGCTTGGAGCTCCCTGGGAGAAAAGGAAAGGACGGAGAGGTGGGAAGGGGAAACAGCGTCATCAATCTCTTGTCTCGTTGAAGTCAGCAGCAACAGCGGCTGATCTCCTTGCCTACTCCTCCCCGCAGCCCAGCATCGGCCTACCTGATGTCATAAACAGGGGAGCGGAGGTCATGTGGGCCGTGGGCAAAAGCGCAGTGCAAGCCATTTTTGGTGCAGTTGCCTTTTGAGTCTGTTTCATGGATGCAGATTCCAGTTTTATAGTAACGAAGGTGGTACCTGCGCTCAGTGTCCCCTGTGGTCCTGTGCAGGAATGGGCACCTGGAACACAGCAGGGGAAGTCAGTCAACTCCGCCTCCCGAGGCCACGGCTGAAGGGCTGCCACCACGATCCAGAGGGTGTAGTGGAGGAAGACTGGGGAAGACAATGATGAACTCTGTGGCCAGGATGGCTCTGCGCTCAAATGCTGGGATCTGAAGGGTTTGGTACCCCACGCAGCTGCCTACTGCTGCTTCAGGGGACACACTTCTGGATGAACAGATGTTTGGATAATAAATGCTACTCAACTCAGGGGCTTCCATGAATCAACCCCTCGAAACTTGCATACATGCCCTACAAGCTTTAATAGGCTTACGAGGAGATCAGCCAGTCTCGATCTCTGTGAAAAAGGTTGGCCACAGTAGGAAAAGTTCAGAATGCCGTAGTACAGAACCCAGAAGCACTTCCCAGCACTTTTCTGAGGTTAAAACAACAGCAACAAGGACATCACTGGTCCCTCTGAGTAATGTCTCAGGCTTTGCCACCTCACTTGCTATCAGTGCTATACTCAGTTCCTCAACAGACATTTAACGTTAGCAAATAAGCTAGTTGTCACGGCACACGCCTTCAAACCCAGCCCCGAGGAGGCAGAGGCAGTTGGTCTCTGTGAATTTGAGGCCAGCCTGGTCTACAGAGTGAGTTCCAGGCCACCCAGGATTTCATTATGAGACCCTGTCTCAAACAACAACTATCAGCAAACAGGGACACTACAGAGGCTTTTCTAAGCTGCCACGGCAGTGCGGACTGTGCAGGACAGCACAGCAGGTGGGAAAAGACATGGAGGACCAGAAACAAACCCAGGGCATCATCTTGGTTCAAATGTAGTCTTGTGGGATTTAGTGGAAGAAAGGCTAATTTTTTGTGTTCATGTAATAGGCAAAGGAAATGAAAGCCATTCCCATTTATTGTTATCCCTTTAACTCAGGGCAAGGGCGAGTCCAACTTTAATCTATTTTGTAGGCTAGCTGCCTGGCATGTACCAAGCTTATTCCGAGGGCATCTGACCCAGAAGGAAAGCTGGCAGGGCACTCACTCGTCACCCTCTGGGCAGAGGCCTGTGGCCTCGTCGTACTTGGTGCAGTAGACATCTGGACTATAGTTAAAGGTGCCGTCCCGACGGCGGATGGAACGGCGGCGCCGCTGGTTCACGAAGTGCCAGTGGAAGCAGGTGTAGGGCCGGTGCTGTGTGCATTTGTGTTGCACGAAGAGTGGACACTGCTCTGTACGGAACTCCTTCAGGTACCTGCAGAGAGACAGTCTGTGAGGGGTGGGCAGGAGGTCAGTGAAGCCCCTTGCTTTCCAGCAAAAAGCCACCAAGCCCTGAGGGCCCTGTTCTGGAGTGCCAGTCCCACTGGGACAGGAGCGATCCAGGGCTGAGGCTGGACTTTGGCTTTTAGATATGTCCCAACAACTAAAGTCCACACCAGCATGAAAGGCAGCAGCCACAGGCCACATGAACACTGTATGTGGTAGAGGCCAGTTGTAGTGTTCAGCGGCAGCTTGGCTGAGCCATCTGAGGTTTCCCAGGCCAAGCCACTAATCATAGGGAAAAGGGCTATTCACAAGTACATAAGCAGCCTCCCCCAGAGTCTGTGGTTCCCTGCTGCCCACATACACTGACCCACCCCCCAAAGACCTCTCCTATACCATGAACCAAGCTGGCACTGTGGGTTGAGGGAAGAAACATGGAGACACTTAGGATTTGCACCGCATACTGCTTTGGTGCCCATTGGTAAAGTGCCCTCTGGACTAATTCTGATCACTGTCTGTAGCATGAATAATAAAAACCCAGAGACAGATATTGGGTTTTTTTTTCTTTTAATGCTACAAAAGAAGTTAATAGATATTGGGGTTTAAGCTGAAGATTAGAAAAGCAAAACAGCCAAGCCACTAGAGAAGTCTTTCCTCTACCAAGGCTGGGCGACTGCAGACTGAGCCCTGAGCCTGTCTCCTCCCATCTTATAGTCCCCTCTAGTGCTGGGATTAAAAGTATGTGACTCCCTAAAACTGAGATTAAAGGTGAGTCACCACTACCTGGATCTGTTTCTGCATTGATCTTGAGTAGCCCAGGGCGGCTTTGAACTCACAGAGATCCATCTGCCTCTGTCTCCCAAATCCTGGGATTAAAGGTGTGTGACATCACTGCCTGGCCTCTAGTATCTTAGTTTTATCTTTTGATCTTCAGGCAAACTTTATTTACTAAAACATGAATATCACTATAATTGTCCTTGAGATGTCTTTAGTGTTACCTGCAGGAATATTTGGGAAGGTGCTCACACAGGGATTCTAAAGATGCCCTCCCTCTTAGACTGGACTGTGCCCAGTTGTCTCACATAAGACCTGCAACAGCTGGGGCTATTCAAATACTGGTGTCTCTCTCCTCTACCCTCATACAATAGCCAGGACATTAAAAAAATACCCCACCAGGTGGAGGGTTTCAAACCATCTTACCCTGATAGAACATACCCCACCGATTTGTGTTCTTCACTACCTTAATCCAGCCTAAGGCTCTCCTAAGCTGGGGTGGAGACTGGTGAATGGGCAATCAGTGCAGTTTTCTTTTTTATTTCTTTTAAAGATTTATTTATTTATTATGTATACAGCATTCCTTCCATGTGTGCTTGCATGCCAGAAGAGGGCACCAGATCTTTTTATAGATGGCTGTGAGCCACTATGTGGTTGCTAGGAATTGAACTCAGGACTTCTGGAAGAGCAGTCAGTGATCTTAACCTCTGAGCCATCTCTCCAGCCCCTGTAGTTTTCTTTAAAAATTTTTTAAAGTATGAGTGCTCTCTCTGCATGTAACCCTGCAGGACAGAAGAGGGCATTAGATCCTATTACAGATGGTTATGAGCCACCGTGTGGTTGCTTGGAATTGAACTCAGGAAGAGCAGTCAGTGCTCTTAACCAATGAGTCACCTCGCCAGCCCTTCCTTAAATATTTCATTGTGTATATATGTATGTGTGGGTGGTGGGACAGGGTGCATATGCCATGGCACACATGTGGAGGTCAGAGGACAGCTTTGTGGAGCTGGTTTTCTCCTTCCACCTTTACATGGGTTCCAGGAATCAAACAGATCAGCAAGTCCTGCTATCTTCGAGACCACTGGGCAGGCAAATTTCTCCAGATATTTTCTCAAGTCAACAATACAAGCAACCAATGGGCTGAGAGGTAAGGAGATGCCGAGGGCATCATGTGCAATGTTGTATACCTAAGCAAGTGAGGCAGAAGCAGCAGATTTGAACCAGCTGCTGCCTGGGCTCGGGCAGAGCTTATATCTGGAGTACATAGTCATAGGACTTCTGCCCAGATTCCTGCGGCCTGGTCCAATAAAGAGCAGGCCGGGTGGGCAGGACCGGGGACGGGATCAAACAGAAGTGTCTGGAGTCAGGCAGCACCTGTTAAACCCAGCACATCTGGGTACAGACGCAGGGCCAAGCAATGAGGACACTGTTTGTCCTGCTCATGTTTTCATGGGAGATACACAAGAATAGATGGGACTGCTGGATGGCGATGACGCACGCCAGAGGCAAGCAGATCTCTCTGAGTTTGAGGCCAGCCTGGTCTACAGAGTGAGTTCCAGGACGGTTAAACAGAGAAACTCTTTCACAAAACAAAAGATTAGGAGAGACTGATGGAAAGAAATGTAAGGGGCTCTGCTCCGGGTATCTTAGGTACCAAAAAGGACCCTGACCCAGACTGGGATGGAAGAAGGCTTAAAGGAAGAAGGTGCTAGCAGATTAAATGCTCTGGAGAAAATTAACAGTAGGATATAACAATGTATCTGGTTCCATGAGTGCCAACTGCCTCTATAGGAGCAACCGAGAGCCTGGAGAAGGGAGTGCAGCAGGCAAACCCACAGGTATCAACTCTGGGTCCCAAGTACATCTAAGATACCGAAGAGAAAACTGAAAGGCCCCTACGATCTACACTCTCTTGGCTCCTCTGGCATTTAAACAGAAGCTTTGTTTTTTTTTCCCATTTGTCTGTCTGGCTAGACAAACAACTGTGCCTTCTTGGCTATATTCAGGTATCAAGCCCTGGCACTAAGCTGGGGCACCCATGCTCTAAGCTACTAGGCTAATCCTTTGAGAAAAAGACATTCTTTCTATATGCTGGTCCACTAGGAGAGTAACTCAGGTAGAAAATGAGGTCAGGAGGAAAGAGGAAGTGCGAAGGCCCGGCAGAGTAAACCCGAACACCTAATTAGGCTGGAGCTCCAGATAAACAATGAGTACTTGCCTAGCATAAACAAGTATGGCTGCACACAGCATGAGGCACACTGATTCTGTAGAATTACACACTGTGTATCTGTGATTCTATCTAGCTGGTGTCCTGTACTTCAATGTTCTCTTCAGACAAGGTCTCGTTGTATATGTCCAGGCTGGCCTCAAAGTGCTGGGCTTAGGCAATTATTCTGTCTTGTCTAAGTAGCTAGGATAATGGGTACAAGCTATGTTACCACTAGATAATATCCTGTGTTTTTATTTGCAAAATAAATATTGGTGCTCCTGAAAGTCTGACAGGGTATGGTGGTATAGCCTTTAACCCCACCACTGGGCGCAGGCAGAGAAGGGTAGATCTCTTGAGTCCGAGGTCAACTTGTTCTACACAGTAAGACCCTGTCTCAAAAACAAACAACAAAAACCTTTTTTCTTTTGTTTTTTTGAGATAGGGTTTCTCTGTGTAGCTCTAGCTGTCCTGAAATGAACTACGTAGACCAGGCTGACCTTAAACTCACCTGCCTCTGCCTCTTGAGTTCTGGGATTAAAGGCACGTGATATCATCTACTTAAAACATTTGAGGCCAGGCTTGACTGCCCACGCCCTTAATCCCAGCACTCAGTAGGCAGAGGCAGGTAGCTCTCTCTGAGTTGGAAGCCAGCCTTTACAACATAAAAGATTCCAGGATAGCCAGGACAACTCAGTGAGACTCTGTCTCAATAACAAAAATAAAACAAAAAGTTTGGTATCAGCATCTTGGCAGGCACACAGGAGACAGGAAGAAGGCTAATACGTGGTCCCTAGCTTTGGACACCAGTGGCTCTCACTAAAAGAAGCCTGCATGACTGAGGCAGAAATGCCTACAGTGTCACACGCAGATGGCTCACATGCCGGACAGGGATTCCTCAGGTAAGGACAGAAGCAATAGGTCATTACAGCCACACTTCCATTTCTACTGCCCCATGTCAGATACACAGGACTTTTTAAAAGAACTTGTTGGTCTTCCTGAAACCCGAATAAGTGGCCACCACTGCTCGGCCTGGCATTCCTAGTCCCGTCCACCCATCCCAGTGTGGGTTTTCAACTCGGCCTCCTCACCACTCTGGACATAGCTGCAGTGCTAGCGGCAAGAAAACTTCCTGTCTTTGCTCAAGTCTCACTCCTTACCTGAGGAAACCAACGAAGGTGGACTAAATGGAAATCAATCTTCTGAATGCCACTTCTGTGAAGTCTTTCTTGCTTTCCACCTAACTATCTGTTAGCTCCCCTGCACTGGAAATGCTGGAGATGGAACCCACAGCCTTGCACATGGTACTCTACCGCTAAGCCACACCCAGAGCCACCTTAGGCATTTCTTATAGTTCTTATTCTGTTTTGCATATTAATCATGCATGCATTTCCCTTTACAGGCTGAGTATACCGTATCTGGAATGCTTGAGATGAAAGTCACTTTTAATCTTTTTAAATTTGGGAAACTACACACTAAGCTATCATGGGGATGGAACAAGGTTCATTTGTGTTTCACATACACTTTATAAATACCAGTGCTCGAGTAATCACAATTATAGAAATATACCATGTCATCCATACCTGTGACCCACTACATAGAATGAGGAGAAAAACTTCCCACTTGGTTTTAATTTTCCTTTATTTTTGTAGTTACACGTGTATGTGTGCATGGATAGAGGTGCACGTGTGTGGAGGCCAGAGGCTGACGCTGGGGTCTTCCTCTATTGCACTCCACCTATTTGTTAAAACAGAGGCTCTCACTGAACCGGAGTGCAACAATTTGGCCAGATCTTCCTGTCTCCACAAGTGCTGGGCTTGCAGGCATGTGCTGCCATGCCTAGCTTTTTAATCTGGATGCCGGGGATTCAAGCCCAGGTCCTCATGCTTAGAAGAGATAAGCACTTTACTGAACGGGACATCTCGTTCACCCCTCTACTTAGGACATGATGAAACTGCCAGTGGCCTCAGTATCTTCTTTATCTCCTAAATAAACCGAGCCACCAACAGGAAAAGTCACCACACAGAACGCTACGACATTTTTACTTGCTAGACTCCTTTCCATCTTCTCTTTCTCCTCAGTCTCGGCACTGTTGTCAAACTCTACACACTGGCAAAGAAAAAAGGGGCGAGAATTGAGGTGTTTTACAGAGCTGACAAAGTTTGCTGTGGTTACTACAATGAATGCAGATACAGCCAGTAGAACAACCTAAATGCCTGAACACACGGGCTGCCCTGAGATGCCGGTGCAAACCTTACCAGGCACCTCGATACTGAAGAATGAGCTCTTACCCTTCAGCAGACACTCTCTCCATCTCTTTCCCACCCTTGGAAGGAAAAGCCACTGAGGAAAATAGGCTTCTTCCCTTTACTTTACAGGCAACATATCTGTGAGAACCTACTTAGCCCAGTTGCTCTCCAGCCTTCCCAGATGCGGGCATTCACCTGATGTACACTAAGAATGCAGACACTGCAAGGCTGGGAGGAAAAGCTTTCGGCAAATCCTAAGTTTTCCCATGTTGAACCGAAGGCTGCTGAACCTCAGCAACAAGTCATATGCTCAAAAGATGCTCTTTGGTAGCAATTTTTATTAAAACTATAAAGTTTGGGGCTGCAGACATGGCTGAGAGGTTAAAGAGCACTGGCTGCTCTCCCAGAGGTCCTGAGTTCAGTTCCCAGCAACCACGGTAGCTCACAACCATCTGTAATGAGATCTGATGCCCTCTTCTGTCATGTAGGCACACATGTGAGCACTGTATACATAATAAATAAATAAATCTTAAAAAAAAAAAGCCAGGTTGTGGTGGTGCATGTCTTTAATCCCAGTACTTGGGAGGCAGAGGCAGGTGGATCTCTGTGAGTTCAAGGACAGTCTGGTTTACAAAGTCAGTTCTAGGATAAGTTCCAAAACTACACAAAAAAACCCTCCCTCAAAAAACCAAAATGAATAAATAAATAAATAAACAAAACTGTTAAGTTCATAATTTAAACACATTAAAGTTTCTAATCGGTAGTTTTTAGTATATTAAATCACATGCAATCACTGGGCTAGAAATACCTCAGTGGTCACGTGCTTGTGTAGTATGAGTGAAGGCCTAGATGCCCAGGATCACACTGTAGTACACACCTACAATCTCAGCACTCGGGGGAGGCACAGCAAGCGTGAGGCCAGTCTAAGCTGGCTGAGACAATGCCTACGAAGGAGGGAGGGTGTGTATAACAGGGCAGTGTGGCAGTGGGGAGATGGGAGGGAAGGAAAACCACAAAACACACTTTGTTGAAAATGTTATAACGAACAGGGCAGTGGTGGCTCATGCCTTTAATCCCAGCACTCGGGAGGTAGAGGCAGGGGATCTCTGAGTTTAAGGTTAGTTTGGTCTACAGAGCGAGTTCCAGGATAGCCAGGGCTACATAGTGAAACCCTGTCTCGAAAATCCAAAAACAAAACAACAGCAAAAGCAAAAAAAGTGGGGCTGGAGAGATGGCTCAGAGGTTAAGAGCACTGGCTGCTCTTCCAGAGGTTCTGAGTTCAATTCCCAGCAACCACATGATGGCTCACAACCATCTGTAATGAGATCTGGTGCCCTCTTCTGGCGGGCAGGGATACATGCAGACAGGACACTGTATACATCACTAATATCACTAATAAATAAATCTTTAAAAAAAAAAAAAAAAAAAAGTTATATGATACCTTACACATTATGTGATGATTTTAAAAAATAAAAATAATTTTTCAAAGCAGAAAAAAGTATTGCCAGGCATATAATCCCAGCACATGGGGGCAAAGGCAGGCAGATTTCTGTGAGTTCCAGGACTGTCTGATGAAAGAATACAGTGAGATCTAGGACAGTCAGGACTAAGTAGAGAGACTCCGTCTCAAAAAAAAAAAAAGTATCATCACAGCTGTGTAATTTCTGAATATTCCCATTGAACAAAAATAAATTCCATGCACTGTTTCTTCTGGTGTCTCTGCTGCCAGGTATTTTAAGAAGTCCAAAGGGTGAATCTATAGACTATATGCTATGGTATGGAATGCTGGATGTCTAGAAGATACCAAACCAAAATTTTTAGCATTTTTTAATAATTAAGCTAATATAACTTATATATTAGCTAAGAATGGCAGAAAAGCTTGCATTCAGCATCTTCCTTCATATAGCACAGTAGTGTGTCTCAAATTCATCCATGTTTAAATGGAAGACAGAGGCCAGTAGTGGTGACGCATACCTTAAATCCCAGCACTGGAAAGGTAGAGGCAGGGGGATTTCTCTGAGTTCCAACCCAGCTGTCTACATAGTGAGTTCCAGGATAGCCAGGGTTACTTGCAAAGAGAATCTGTCTCGGGGCTGGAGAGATGGCTCAGTGGTTAAGAGCACTGACTGCTCTTCCAGAGGACCCAGGTTCAATTCCCAGCACCCACATGGCAGCTCACAACTGTCTGAAGATCCAGTTACAGGGGATCTGACACCTTCACACCAATGCATATAAAATAAAGTTAAATAAATCATAAAATATTTTCAAAAAAGAGAGAGAGAGAAAATCTGTCTCAAAAATAAAAAGATGAGGGACAATATACTTGGATTAGCCGTAACTGTCCATAGTTGCAACCTGAAAATGTAGAAGGTGTACTTGGCTAGTAGGGAAGCCTTCTTCAGGCTCAAACACAGGTGGATTAAAGAACAACAACAAAAACAAAACTTTAATTAATAAAATAATTCTGTCCAGTTTAGAAACGCAACTAGAAGCCTTTTGCTCCCACCTCCTTCCACAAGTGGAGCTGATGACAGAATCTGCTTTCCCAGCTTCTGATCTAGGGACTCCTAAGAAAAATACCAGGCAGGCAGAGGTCTAGCAAAAAAGCCTGCGTGTTGCTCAGGCTGCAGGGCTCTAGTGACCTACGTGTGCACAGGGCACGTGTGCACAGGGCTTCTAAGACACATGAGAAGGAAACCTCACCTTCAGGCATCAGGGTGTTGGAAGCGGGAAGTGTAGGTCCACGAGGGTGTCTTGTTTTTTGCACTTACATGGGGTGCTATCTCCAGAGCACAGTATGCCCAAGATGCATTGCTCTAAGTTGTTGCTCTCAGAGTTGTCCAGCTGCCCTCACCAATAAGTCAGTCTTTGTAGGATGACAGAAATCACCAGTCAGAGCAGAAGCATATGGACTGAGGGGAAGCCTTCTTTAGTGTCTAACATAGCTGGATTAAAACAAAAAAACTTAACCATTAAGCAGATCTGAACTTTAATCATTACTTTAGATATAGCAAACAACGAGTAGGTGTCAAGCTTAAGAGTCTGGCGTGGGCCTTAGGTTAGTATTCAGGCATCTGTACTGGCCTGCCCTTGGGGTCCTGACAGGATACGTCCTCAGCAGCAGCCACTAAGAGCACTCTGTGTACACTCTCTTTGTTCCCTTTTAAAAGGTGGGCCTTGTCCATCTCCCATCTCTTTCTCTCTCTCTCTCTCTCTCTCTTCACTCTTGTCCCCAGGGACCAGTCTCTGCCCCTCTTTCTCCTCTTTCAATACACGATGTTTCTCCTTTCCGCGATTTTTTAAATAAATTGTAACACCATGAACACTTATTAATGGGGTCTGGTGAAACCTTTTGTTCTGCAGGAAGTTAATTTGATTTGATTAACATGTAAATGAGATCAAAAAAGGATTACTGGCAATTTAGCTCATCGCCTCTGACGTTCTGTAACTTGCACTCCAGTAATGCATGTCTGGCTCTACTGCACTCTGCAATAATGACCTAAATACATGTTCACCATCGGAGGAAATCCAGTAAAATTCCTAACAGTAATGTACCAACTAACAAAATTGTCTCAAAACAGCTGATGGAACTCCATTCTCTCACACACATTCTTCTCTATCAAAACAGCTGCTAATGGGGCTCCACTCTCTCTCAATTCCTTTCTCTCTCCAGTTTCCCCGTAACCCAGACTCACCTTGTACTGACAGGACGACCTTGAATTTCTGATCCACCTGCCTACCTTCTGGGTACTAGGACTACAAATTTGCTGCCTCCCTTTCTATGCATGCTAGGCACTCATTCTACCAACTAAGCTACACCCTCGGCCATCTCCTGAATAAAGCTGAAGAAAGCATCCCAGGTAGAGGTGGTGGCTCAGAATTGGCACCCACGGCCAACCCTAACAACCTAAATTCAGTCTCTAAAACACACATGGCAGAAGGAGAAAACTCTTACAAACTGTCCCTGAAACAAGTTCAGTTGGCGGCGGTGATGAATGACTTTAAACCCAGCACTCAGGAGGCAGAGGCAGACAGAGCTCTGTGAGTTTGAGGCCAGCCTGTTCTACAGAGTGAGTTAAAGATCAGCCAAGGCTACAAAGACAAATGCTGTTTTAAAGAGGAAAAAAAAAAGAAACAAGTTCTAAATTCATGTGATGCCTGTATATACAGGATTATATTATAGAGCATTTCTCGTCTAAAAAAACACCTACAGGGCAGACGTAGTAGTGCATGCCTTTAATCCCAGCACTGGCAAGGAGATTTAAATTCAAGGCCAGGCTGGTCTATATAGCAAATTCCAGGCAAACCAGGGCTACACAGTGAGACCCTGTTTCAAAAATGATGGAAGGATAGAAGGATGGATGGATAGATGGATGGATGGATGGAAGATTACATGGACAGACAGACAGACAGACAGAATCACCCCACAACCTTTACAATAACTAGAGCTTCATTTTCTTGTATCAAGAGCATTAACAAGGGCTGGAGAGATGGCTGGGGATTAAGAGCACTGGCTGCTCTCCCAGAGATTCTGAGTTCGAGTCCCAGCAACCACATGGTGGTTCACAACTACCTAGAATGAGATTGGGTGCCCTCTTCTGGTGTACAGGCATACATGCAGGCAGAACACTATACATAATAAATTAAAAAAAAAAAAGAAAAGAAAAGCATTAACAAGTTTGAGAATCGAGCAAAGTTGAAGGACTCCAAAAAAGATATACTTTGAAGCAGAATTCCTCTTACAGGGGCAAAAATAACAAAAGAAACCAATATTTTAAACTTTAACCTCATAGTGGCACACACCTAATCCTAGCACTTGGGAGGCAGAGATAGGCAGATTTCTTCAAGTTTGAAGCCAGTCTGGTCTACATAGTTCCAGAACAGCCAGAGATACATAGTAAGACCCCTGTCTCAAAAACAAAACAAAACAAACAAAAAGATACCTTCCTATTGTCCTTTCAAGCAAACTGCTTAAATTTATTATCTCTCTCTGTGTGTGTGAGCACATGCATGTGTTGGAGATCAGAGAATAACCTGGCAGAATTGATTTTTCTCCTCCCACCTTCATTCGGGTTTCTGAGTTATGAGGATTAACTCAGGTTGTCAGGCTCAGATGTACCCACTGAGCCATCTCACCGGCCCCTCAACTAACTGCCTTTTGTTTCTGTTTTCTTCTTTTATTTTTGAGAGAGGGTCTCCCATGTAGTACTGCCTGTCCTGGAACTCAGGAGATGTGCGTGCCTGAGTGCTGGGATCAAAGGCAAACACCATCACTATACCTACCCTAGCTGCCTATCTCTCTTTCTTTCTCGCTCTCTATTTCTTTCTTTCTTTCTTTTTTTGTTTTGTTTTTTGAGATAGGGTTTCTCTGTGTAGCTCTGGCTGTCCCGAACTCACTCTGTAGACCAGGCTGGCCTCACAGAGACCTTCCTCCTGAGTACCAGAATTAAAAGGTGTGCACCACCAGCCCTGCATCAGCTAATTTTTCTTTTTTCTTTCTTTCTTTTAAAGGTTTTTCAAGACAGGGTTTCTCTGTAGTTTCGGAGCCTGTCCTAGAACTAGGTCTTGTAGACCAGGCTGACCTCGAACTCACAGAGATCCGCCTGCCTTTGCCTCCCAAGTGCTGGAATTAAAGGCATGCACCACCACCACCTCACTCATCAGCTAATTTTTAATATACTTGCTATATAAATCTCTAAATCTATACTTCTGGACACAGTGTGGGATGTAACTAACATAACACTCCCTATTCTTTTAATTTTATTTATTTATGTATTTTTTTTTTTTTTTTAGTATGAGGGCTGTCTGCATGTATGCCTGAGGCTAGAAGGCATCAAATCCCATTCATCATACATGACTGTGAGCCACCATGTGGGTGCTGGAAATTGAACTCAGGATCTTTGGAAGAGCAGCCTGTGCTCTTAATCACTGAGCTATTTCTCTAGCCCAAAACTTCCTATTCTTAAATCTGTTTTTTTTTACTCTTCTAAAAATGTATAAAGTAGACTTATTACAAACAAAACTGCCTTAAACTTAGCCCTTGGCAGTGGATCTCTGTGATCCAGCCTGGTTTACAGAGGGAAGTCCAGGACAGCCAGGGCTGTTACACAGAGAAACTCTGTCTCAAAAAACCAAAACAAAAGATTAGCGGAAATATGAAAATAACTATCCTTCAAACTACCGTTTATATAAACCTTTCAGCTTCAGGAGTGTTCAAGTCTTCCTGGTTACAAGTCTGTAATCCCAGCACCTGGGAGGTGGAGGCAAGCGGGTCAGTAGTTTAGGGTTCTCATCCACATAAAACCCAAGTGGGTTAGTAGTTTAGGGTTCTCGTCCACATAAAACCCTGCCTCAAACAAAACAAAATGACAACAACAGCAAAAACAAACAAACAAACCAAAAAAACCCAAAAAACGAGTAACGGCAGCAGGCACCTGAAAGGGAGACAGACAGGGAGGAAGATGCTGAGTTTGAGGCAGGCTGTGCTTCATTGAGAGAACTGTCCCAAAAGAGTATGTCACACAATTTTAAAAGACAAAACATTTTGGGGCCGGAGAGATGGTTAACAGTTAAGAGCACTGGCTGCTCTTCCAAAGGACTGAGGTTCAGTTCCCAGAGCCCACTGTCTGTAACTCCAGCTCCAGGACTTCTGACACGCTCACACAGATCTACGTGCAGACAAAAATACCAATGCACATAAACTAAACATAAGTACATTGACAAACAAACAGCTGGACAGTGGTGCACGCGCCTTTAAACCCAGCACACAGAGGCAGCTGGATCTCTGTGAGTTCAAGGCCAGCCTTGTCTACAGAGCTAGTGTCAGGACAGGCTCCAAAGCTACACAGAGAAATATTGTATTGAAAAACTAAAACAAAAACAAAAACAAAAACAAAAAACAAAAAGCCAAAAAACACAAAACCTGACAAACACCAGCTGGCCATGGCGGCACATGCCTGCAGTGCCACACTTGGAAGGGGGTGGAGGCAAGGACAGTTCCGAGAGAGAGTGCCAGGTCTGGCTGTGCTGTGCTTGAAAACTCATTTTGCTGGGATTAAAGGTGTGTGCCTCCAAGGCCCAGCTGAAACTCTTAAAACTCCCAGGTCAAAAAAAAAAACAAAAAAACAAAAAAAACCTCCCAGTTCCCCTAATCCCCAAGGACAGGGACACCAAGTATACTTGTACCACCTGTGTCCTCATGTTCACCAAATGCGGATCTGGATGATCAAGTTTTCCAAGTCACTGTTTCTGAATGCCAGAATCTACCTCAACATTCAGCTGATTTCTCTGGTTGTTTTTGTTTTTAGTTTTTGGGGTTTTTTTTGGTAGATAAAAAGATATCTACACAAAGACAGGAACACCAGTAACCTCCATCTCTCAGTTAAGCTTGGGTACGTCATTAATTCCTGTGGATTTAAAAGCTGTCTCAAGCTGGTGAGATGGTTCAGAGGTAAAGGCACTTGCCACCAAATCTGATTCCTGGGACTCATCTAGAGAAAAGAAAGGCTAATTCCCACACATCGTCCTCATAACACACACACACACACACAGTAAGTAAATGTTCTAATAAATAAATAAAGATGACTTAGGAGCCAAGTTCCAAAACTACACATCAAGCTTCAAAGAATAGAAAAACAAATGTCAAACAAGAATCAAAGGGGACAAAAATTCAGATATTAGGACTGGAGAGATGGCTTAGCAGCTAAATGCACTGCTGTTCTTGCAGAGAACTCTGGTTTAATTCCCAGCACCCACATGGCAGCTCACAATCATTTGTAATTCCAGTTCCAGGGGACCTGATGCACCTTCTGGACTTCAAGGGCACCAGATATGCCCCTGCTGCACAGACACACAGGTGGACAAAATTAGACACATAAAAACAACTGCTTAAAAACTCAAGATATGCCGGGAGGTAGTGATGCATCCCTTTAATCCCCGTACTCAGGAGGCAGAAGCAGGTGGATCTTTGTGAGTTCAAGGCCACCCTAGACTACAGAGGGAATTCCAGGACCATCAGGGCTACACAGAGGAAACCCTGTCTCAAAAAACAAACAAACAAACAAAAAAAACACCTCAGATGCTAAATGGAGCATTAACAGCACACAACTTTAATCCAGCACTCAGGAGGCAGAGGCAGGCAGATGTCTGTGAATTCAAAGCCAACCTGGTCTACAGAGTGAGTTCCAGGACAGCCAAGGGCTACACAGAGAAAGCAAACAAGTAATTCAGACACTGACAATTACACTGTGTCCGCTCCTTTCATCTGTCAGAACCCATTCTAATGTAACTTCACAGTATCTCAATGACAACACAACACAGTAGAACAGACTGCAGCTATCTGTGGTAGCCAAGTCGTGTAAACCCAGAATGCTGGAGAATGAGGTAGAGAAAAAGATCCATAATGGGGGAGGGTGTGTCAATGTAAGCAGCACAGTGAGTTCCAGGCTTGCCAAAGCTACACAGCAAGACCTTATCTTTAAATAAAAAATAAATAATATGGCCTTGAAGATGGCTCTGTGGGTTGAGTGTCTGCTGCACAAGAATGAGGACCTGAGTTTGAATCTTCATCACCATGTAAAAAGCCAGGCATGGCCCATACATCACACATGCTCATAACCCCAGTGTTGGGAGATCGGAGGAAGTGGGCCCCCAAGAGCTCACTGGGCAGCCAACCTGGCCAAACTTCAGGTTCAGTAAAATAATCTTTTCTTTTTCAAGATTTATTTTATGCACACAGGTGTCTTGTCTATGTGTATGTCTGCACACCAGAAGACGGCATGGGATCCCCATGAGATTATAGTTACAGACAGCTATGAGTCACCATGCGGGTGTTAGGAATTGAACCCAGGACGCAAGAAGAGCAGCCAGTGCTCTCTTAATGACGGAGCCATTTCTCCTGCCCATAAAGAACCTATCTTACAGGACACCTAACCTGATCTCCAAGTGCACAATGTATCACTCACACACACACACACACACACACACACACACACACACACATCCACAAAAAGAAACTAAGGTTCTTTAATGAGGCCCTGTGGTGGCCTGTGGTGGCAGATTTGTAATCCTGGTTAACTCAGGAGTCTAAGGCAGGAGGATGCAGAGTTAAGAGCCTGTCTAAGTTATAGAAGTTCAAGGCCAATCCAACCAACTGAGTGAGAACCTAGCTTGGAAAGTAATAACTAAAGAAATAATAAGTGTGTGTTTGAAGCTACAGCTCAGTGGTAGAGCTCCCCCCTCCTTCAGTTTCGAACACTCCCACGTGTGGGATGGTGCAGAGTTGGGAAGGCACTTGCTGCCAAGCTTGGCCATCGGAGTTGGACCCCCATAACCATACGGTGAAAGGAGAGAACCAATGCCCTCGGACTGTTGACTTCCACACCTGCGCATGCATGCGTGTTCCCACACACATTTACATATAAATAAATAAATGTAATACAAAATAAGTCCCAATTAAGTTTACAGATTTGCAAATCGAGACCACACTCCTGTGTGGCCAGGTAAGTCAGTGACTTCTTAACCAAAAGCGACAGCAAGGTTGCAGAGAACTCCAGTAAGAAAGGACCAACTGAGTCACAGTGCAGTCAGTCAAGCTTAGCCGTCAGCCAGTATCACAGAGTCCCTAGAAAACATTTCCTAGGTCCATCTCCCAAAAGGCCTTCTGCCAAGCTCCTCCTGCCTGCCTTTAGTTCTCTGTATCCCAACAGTTGCTTCCTGGCTTACTCAACTTGAGTGCTGCTCAACCTCTCAGATTCTGAACTCTCCGTGGGTTGGGATCCTATAAACACCGCCCAGGCACCTGAAGGAGATGAGAGGCACTCCTGAACCAGCTGGGAACGGAAACCAACGCTTTACAAGGGGAAGCCCACCACTGGCCTTTGTCCCACAGCACCTAGGCCTACTGTGCCGGTGACAGCAATGAAGGCAGGGATCTAGGCTGGCACAAATGCAGCTTGGCAGGGCTTTTCTGAGGCTCCCTCTCCTGCCAGATTCTGAAGGGGCCTGCAATCACACAGTACCCTGGGGTTGGCTCCCTCACAGGCCGGCCAGTATCGCCTGCGAAGAGTGATTCCGTGTCTACACGTCTGACTGCTTAAGGGAACTCAAGCGTGGGTGATTCTCGTGGACAACCTAACAGGCCTCTGAGCTACAAAGGAGCTCCTCGGGCGCACAGACGACTGCAAGCGAGTCGTCGTTTCTAGACAGGTCTAGGGCCGGCTGCTACAGAACTCAACTTGTCATGTAGTGGACTTCTCGCTCCCCAAGAGCCTGGTCCTGTGGTTTTACGGTCTGAGGAACGCTCGGGCCTCCAAGGCCTACCCTGAGAAGTGTGTACTCGAGACCGAGCTCCTGCCATCCCAACTCGGAGGCCGGGACCGAGTTTCCCGCCCCACGGCCCGACCAGAGGTTGGTGACAGTTGAGGAAGCTGGGACCGGTCCTAGCAGGTTGGAACCGGTCTGGGCCAAGCTGGAGAAGGAAGGGGGGGTGAGAGACAGCCTCGCGCTCTCCCTGCGCGCGTGACTCACGCTGGCCGCTGACGTCAGGCGTGCGCGCGCGGCGGGGGGGGCTCTACGTACGTGTAGTGCTGCGGTTTCTCGGGCTGTGCCTGCAGCACCTGAGCGGTAGCGGCCGGGGGCGCCGAGGAAGCTGCCGAGCCGCCGGGCCCCGGGCCCTTCGACATGGTCCTGTCTTCCTGCCTCTTCGCCGCTCCCCTTTTATTATTCAGTCTGCGCGGTCCGCGCCGAAGACCCACAGCGCCTGCGCCGCGCCACGAGAACGTGAAGACCCCCCGCACGGCAGCAAAGGTTGCTGGGAGTTGTGGTCCTTCTTTCGGCTGAAATTTTACCGTTGGCACAGGGTCGCTGCCGAGGCGCAAGACCACAATACCCAGGGATCTTTGCGGACCGTGTCCCGGATGCTGAGGACCCGCAATGACTTGTGGTAATTGTAGTCTGGCCACTCTTAATAATACCAGAGCTTTTACTCTGTGGTGGGAGGAGAGCTCTTCCTTGAAACTGGAACCATCGGAGTACGAGAAGCCTGTTAAGGAGGCCCTAAACGATTCCAATCGAGAATGTTCCAAGTGTAATTTCGCTACCAACACTGCAGTAATTATCTGCCTCCTTACCAGTACAGTTTGCGCATAGTTGCTAAAGTCAGCCTAGCAAGCTTGTGAGCCAACTTCTTCCTGAGATGGTAGTAGCCTGTACATCACCAGAGAAAGTATGCCGGCTGGCAGACAGTTTGAAGAAGCTTTGTTAAAGAAGATACACTACACCATATTGTTCCCGTGCCTCATTAACATTTACCAGCCCTGAAACCTGGGCTCCCTCTGAACTCAGTGTCTGGCCCAAACACCTTGTTTCCAGTACATTAAGGTCCAAGGGAGAACTCAATCTTTATCTAGAATGGTTTTCATAGATACACTGGTAAATTGCGGAGAAGCATCACGGTAGTTCCATATGAAGGTCCAGGGCGTGAGTAAGGAATGAGTTATATCGCACTCTGGGTTCCCTTTTCTGGAACACCTTTTCTGTTTGGGAAAATACAGGGCCATAGCCTCACATTTAGGCATTTGGTTTTATGACATGACTTCCACGGGCTGGATATAGTGACTCATGCCTGAGGGAGGAAAATCACAAGTTCCAGGCCAATCTGGGCTACATACTGAGACCCAGTCTTAGAAAACAAGAGCAGAGTGATACACGCCCTGGTCCCGGCACTCGGGAGGCAAAGGAAAATGGATCTCTGTGTGTTCAAAGTCAGCCTGGTCTACATAACCTAGTTGCAGGTCAGCCAGAGCTTCCCGCTGTCTAACAACCACACCAAAAATAACAAAACAACGGGAATGGGGAGATGGGCCAGGGTAAAAGTGCTTTCTTTGCGAGGCTGGAAACCTGAGTTTGATCCCTGGCACTGTTAAGCTGCCTTTTGGCTTTCTCATGGGTCCACACTCGTTCCTCTCACACATGCATCACACACAACCAACCAACAAAATGTCCATCGCCGTGGGTGTAATGCTTTCCTCTGACTTTGTTCTTTATTCAATATGCTTCAAAATCATTTTATTTTGTTTGTGATATACGTTTGTTTTTGTTGTTGCTGTTGTTTTGCTTTAATTTTTTTTTTATGTGTATTGGTGTGAGGGTGTCAGATCCCCTGGGATTGGAGTTACAGACTGTTGTGAGCTGCCATGTGGCGACAGTTTGATCCCTTACATGGTGGGAGAAGAAAACAGGTTCCATACTTGCATCAGGGAACAAATACATAAGTAAAATTTAAAACTCTTTTGAAAGAGAGAAGCTGGGTGTGCTTGTTGACTTACACCTTTAATCCTACCTCTGGGACACAGAGGAGATGGCTCTCTATGGGTCTGAGGCCAGCTTGGTCTATACAGCAAGTTCCAGTCCAGTTCTGCTCTCCATAATGAGAACCTCTCTGAAAAGAAATGGGGAGCGGGCCATGGTAACTCAGGCCTTTAATCCCAGCACTTGGAGGCAGAGGCCCGTGAATCTCTGGAATTCAAAACCCTGTCTCGAAAAAACTATAAAAAGAAAAGGAGACTGGATAATAGTGGTGGCACAGAGAGAAGGAAAGAAAAGGAGGGGCTGGAGAGATGGCTCAGAGTTTAAGAACACTGGCTGTTCTTCCAAGAGGTCCTGAGTTCAATTCCCAGCAACCACAGGGTGGCTCACAACCCTATGTAGTGAAATCTGATGCCCTCTTCTGGTGTGTAGGCACACATTAGATAAAGCACTCGTATACATAAAATAAATCTTTTTTAAAAAGAAAGAAAAGGAAAAGAAGAAACGGGAAAGGGAGTGAAAGTTCATTTCAAATGCCCTACAGGGTAGAGAGGGCAGAGGAAATGGAAACTGTTGTGTTCGAGGATGACACATGCTTTTTTTTTTTTTTCATTTAGGTCTGTGTAACTTCACAAGGGAAGCCAATTTGTCAGCTTACAGAGCTGACAGACTGGTATTTCCTAAACAGGCTAAGTCGATTGCTTTGCCTCTAGAGCTGTTTGAAGATGAGCTATTCCAAAGGGACAAATACAGGTGATGATGAGTGGCTTTATTCTTATGGCTAACTTCAAAGAACTGGCTTGCTGATTGAAGTTCCCAAGTGTGAAGTCTCTACAGAAACCATGGCTCATAGATCTATTATTATTATTATTATTATTTTGGTTTTGTTTTTCAAAACAGCATTTCTCTGTAGCTTTGGAGCTGTCCTGGAACTCCCTCTGTAGACCAGGCTGGGCTTGAACTCACAGATCCACCTGCCTCTGCCTCCAGAGTGTTGGGATTAAAGGCGTGCGCCACTGCCACCTGGCTTCATTTTTAATAATAAGAGTATAATAACAAGTTCCTGAATAAGCATTCCTGTAGAGTTAGGAGATGATGTCCTCTGGATTGCTTAATTTACTGAAGAGGGAATTGAAACCCAGAAAAATTAAGTAACTTGCAGAAAGTCACTCAGCAAGTTAAGGAAAAGGTAGTGGGAGAGGACAGAAGCCCAGATAAAGGATTCTATTTACTGAGGCTCTGACTGCAGTGCGCGGGATCACACCCGAGGTTTACCTCACCATGGTGGGCGAGCTCACTCTACACCTGATCCCCGGCTCACGTGCTTTGTGTTGATTGTGTAGTCCTTTCAGTCCCTCCCCACTTCCTGTGCTACTTTTCCTCGCACTTGGCAAGTCCGGAAAAAGAAAAGCCCATCTTAGTTATCCCTAAGGGGGTGCTCTACACTCGACATTCTTAGGTGGATGGATTACATCTACATCTTGTCTTTTCCTGGGGGCAGGTTTCGGATTTTCTTTAACAATTACCAAAACCCAGAGAAAAAAAACTGAGGGTGGTGGCCCATGCATGTAATCCTGGCACTCAGGAAGCAGAGGCGAAGCCAAGTGGTGGTGGCACCAGCCACTTGGGAGGCAGAGGCAAGTGGATCTCTGAGTTTGAAAACTTCCTGGTCTATAAAGTAAATTCCAGAACGCCAGAACTGTTATACAGAGAAACTCTGTCTCGAACAAGAAGAAGGAGGAGGAGGAGAAAAAGGAGAAGAGGAGGAGGAGGAGGAGGAAGAAGAGGAGGAGGAAAGTGGAGGAGGCGGAAAGTGGAGGAGGCAGGAGGATTGCCCCACAGTTTGAAGTCTATCCTGTGTTACTTAGTAAGATCATCTCTCGCCTGGCGGCTGGTGCATGCTTTTAATCCCAGCACTTGGGAGGCAGAGCCAGGTGGATCTCTGTGAGTTCAAGGCCAGCCTGGTTTACAAGAACTAGTTTCAGAACCGGCTCCAACACTACAGAGAAACCTTGTTTTGAAAAACCAAAACAAAAGGAAGAAAGAAATTAAAGCTAACCTGGGCTACCTGAGACCCTATCCCCACCAATAACAATAAATTAGGTGAATAATAATTAAAGCCATGTGCTGTTAAGGGTATGCTAGAGCCAAGTGTGGTGGGTCACACAGTCTCAGCCGTCAGAAGACTGAGGCAGGAGGATAGCAACAAAATCAACATATACTGGACTACACAGTGATTTCCAGGGTCGCCTGGGTTACAGAATGAGACCCTGCCTCAAAGGGGATGGAGTGGGCACATGGTCTCATTCACACCCCTGAAGTCCCAGAACTCAGGGGTGAAAGTAGTGCCTGTCTTGGCAGCATTGGGGGTTCCAGGCCAATCTGACCTAATTAAGGAAACCCAATCTCAAAAACAAGGAATCAGGATGTAGTTCAGTGGTTGAATGCTTGCCTAGCAAGGGCCAAGCTCTTGATCCCTAGCTTTACACAATCACAATCTAAAGTTTGAAAACTTTGGGAGGAATTCTCACACCAGAGACTGTGTCAAGATACTTCTTTCTTCTTATTTTCTTTTTTTTTTCTTTTTTTCCCTGAACCTCTCTGTGTATCTCCATCTGTCCTGGAACTTACTCTGTAGACCAGGCTGGCCTCGAACTCACAGAGATCCACCTGCCTCTGCATCCCTGAGTGCTGGGATTAAAGGCGTGTGCCACCACCACCCAGCCAATTTTCTTTTTCTGAGGATTTCTCTGTGTAACAGCCCTGGTTTTTCTGTAACTCACTCTGTAGACCAGGCTAGCCTCGAGCTCACAGAGATCCACCTGCCTCTGCCTCACGAATGCTGGATTAAAGGTGTGTGCCACCACGGTCCCATCATCTTTTCAAATCACGCATGTTCTGCTCTGCTAATACTGGTGGCTACAAGTTGACCTTTGGGCCAGGTGTGGCGCTGTGGATGCTACTACAGAACCAATCGTGTCAAAGATTCAGCTATGTTCCACTGTGAAGCAGATGAATACAAAAACTGACAGTGTTCCTGTTGCTAATTCCAGAAGTTAAAAAACAAAACAAAACAAAGAAACAAAAAAAATGTGAATTTTCTTTTCTTTTGGACAGGGCCGCGCTATGTAGGCCAAGCTGGCCTTGAACCCACAGAGACACACTTGCCTCTGCCTGGTATTAAAGGTGTGTGATCCTAAGCCTCACAAATGACT